TAAGTCCCTGTTTTGAACCTTTGTCCTTTTTTGTTGGCTCTAAAACAGAAGCCGCAAACAAGGGCGCTCTTAGAGGGGAAACAAAGGCAGCAAGAATAGAGAATTATTTTCTAAAGCAAAGCAGATCATGTGAAAGGCCAGGTTGTTGTTCAACTTGGAGGCTCTTGAGTTTTGTGCATCACAAGCAATGTCTCTGTGAGCGCTGAATGGGCAGGGTTACTGCCGGTCAGTGCTGACCCATCATGTCTGTAGGGATACGGCTGTGTCCTCGGCGAAGCTTCTGGTTTACTTGCCCATGGATTTTGTGGTCTTACTTTGACCTGTGCTGGGCCAGAGTGCCCATGGCAACCTCAGAGTGAGGGTTACCGTCCATGGGGGAGGCAAGGAGGAGTCCGGGAACATGCTAGGGTTGTCCGGTGGTGTTGGCCTTGATCTCACTTTTATGTTAGGTGGTGAGCTCAAGGGTGTTTATTTTATCATTATGCTTCTTAATTTATGCTGCATGGATTTCTGGATTAAGAAGCCATCTGGATGGATCAAGAATTGCACTGATTTTTTTTTTTTTTTTTTTTTTAATCCTGGACTATTTTGGAACACCTCTGAGCTGATTGTTTAACTCTTGCCTAACCCTGAGTCTGGAAATTCCAGGACTGTGTGAACTGCCCCTCTAATACACTTAGCTTCTCTACCCTAAGAAAACAGTCAGACCTTCTGGGCCAAACAGGAGTGGTTGGTCGTGGTGGTGGTGATAATGGCGATGATGAAGCTAGCAAGCTGATTGCACTCCAGTATGGTTAAAGCAAATAATGATATGCCTCTTCCCTTGTTCCAGGTTCTCTTCCCAATGGTTGGCATATATTATTCATTCATTTAATTTCCATCTCTATGTTACAGAAGAACTAGCTGAGACATTGGGTGACTTGTTCAAAGCATACAGCTGATAAGTGGTAGAGCAGGGTTGGACCCCTACCACCCACATTATACTGCCCCCGAGAAGTCAGCCATCACCTGCAGCACCCACTCAAGCAATATGAGCCCAACAGGGCCCTGACCATCCATAAGTGTGTATTAAGCCCCTATGTGACTCACATTTCTGGGATAACTTGCTCATCCCAAAGAAAGCCTGGCAGTCCCGGCAGTCCCTGTGGTCTGCCACCGCAGGCCACCCTCTACTTCTCCCTGTGCAGAAGGCCCATGGCAGCATTGCTGGCCTGGTGGCAGAGACCCTGTTCTTTATTCCCACATGCACCTGGCTCAGCTTTGCCCCCTGGCCAAAGCAGTCCACCCCTCTGGGATGGCCCACAGGCCTGTATTCCCACCTCACCCCTGAGCATGTAGTCAGAGCACACGAATCCTGGGCTCACCCAGCCACCTGAGTCAGGTAACTTTGTGTAGGTATTTCTCATAATCTTATTTGAATGGATTTTATCCAGAAATGCTACCTTACATTATCCAGAAATTACGGAACCTTTTAACCCAGGCTGTTTGGTTCTCAATGTCGGGCTCAACAGCCGATAGTTTCAGAACAGGCCTCTCCAGTCAAAGATGGGAATAGAATGAGGACTCTGTATTTCTCCTGACGTCCTGGAGTTACAGAACAGACTTTCCACTCTGCATGGCCTGTGCCACAGTGCAGACGGATTACTCCTGCAGATGCCCCTTCTTGTAAAGGCTGCAGAAGTGCCAGGGAGACAGCAGGGGAAGGCGGGTGCTCTTGCTGCTCCATGAGGCTGTGGGCCTGCTCAGCAGAGCTCAGGGAGTGCAGGTGGGGCTGCCCCGAGAGTTTCTGGGCAAGGGAGGTGCACTGTGTTCAGAGACGATCTTCCTTTGGCACTTTGAGTTGGCATGAGAGATCTTAAAAGAAATGTCATTCTCAATAGCAGCATGGCTTTTTTTTTTCCTCTTAATTCTATGGGTCCGAACAATTTGGTTCTTATAGAAAGTGAGAGAGAGAAGGGTGGCTAGGGACATAGCTCAGTTGGTAGAGTGCTTGCATGCACAAGGCCTTGGGTTCAATCCCTAGCACCACCACCAAATAATAAAATAAAATAAAAGTGAGAGGCAGAAATAAGCCATGGAATCTTTGCCGACGACATTCTTCTCCGGCACACTGCTGCTCTCAGGCTGTGGAATATTCCACATCCTTAATAACCTGGGAATTGGCATTCCTGTAATTGTGCTTTCCACGTTTGGGATGGGACCACTGGGGGACATGACTCCTGTTAGCACTTGAGATGGTTTCTGAAGGTACTGAACTACACAAAGAGCATCAGGCTACGTGATGAGAAAGTCCCTTTCCAGTCTTCTTTTCTGTCTTGGTTGTAAGGCAGACAAAGACTCTGTCTGGGGCGAGAAGATCCTTACTACTCTAACACTTGTCAATTTCCCCTTTGCAGCTGGGAGAGAGCAGCCCTCAGGCAGCTGAGTCCAACTAGAAACACACACAGCAGATTTTCATTGTTTTTACTTTTATGGGTACTTCCTATTTATGGCCAAAAATTCCATTTACTTGTGACACATTTCCTTTTTAAGTGTTAGATGTTAAACAGTGAGTTAATGGAAAGGAAAACGTGAGTAATAGATCTCCCAGTGATGCCAACAGTGCTAAGCCCACAAAACTGCTGGGTGCACTGAGTGGCACTCAACCGGGCATTACATAGACTCACCTGCAGGGGCATCTTTAAAGATCCTGTGAATCTGACTCCTGGGGATGGGGCCAGGCATCAGTATGTGACCCAAACACCCCAGATGTTTGCAGTGTGTCACTGAGGCTCAGGTTGCCGCCCGCCTGTGCTAGGACAGCATCCCCCTCGCGTCTCCTAGTAGCATCTGTCCCTTTTTCTCTCTCCTGCCTTCAGCATTTCTTCTCATCCTCTCCCCCACTTGAATTCTGCTCTGATGTTTCCTCTCTCCCCCTGTTCCAGAGTGGTGAGCCATTCCTGTTAGCAATGACCTGCGGCGTGCCCTCTGGTTTGAAGACTGTTGAAATCACTCATTTGCAACCATGTTAGAAAATCTCCACATCATACTCTCCCCTGCCCATCCTTTGCCCGTCCTAAGCCATTCGTCCAATTTCTTTGGGTTTTGTTGTCCACCCGTAACTTGTGTTAACAGCAATGATGATAACTGTGTCTGGGTTTTTAGCATGCTGGCTGCTGTTCTAAGCACTTAGCGTGTATGATCCTGCATAATGCTGGCCTTGCCAGCAGGTACAGTTTTTCAGATGAGGAAACAAGCACAGAGAATTGGAATGTCTTTCCCACGACCAGAAAGTGGCAGAGGCAAAGCCCACATTCTCAGCAGATGGAACCTCAAGCTGGTGGCTTATGATCCTGATTCAGTTGTCCTGGACCGCCATGAGTCACACCTCAGGAGACCGTTATCTGCAGCAATAAGAAATTGAAATTTGGATCCACTGTTTGCCTCAGTGGCGTTTGGAATTGATAACTCTTTCTATTTTCAACTTAAGTGATAGTATCTCAGCAGGGAACCCACGGCTTTAGATCCCATCAAGATTTTAGCTCATCACCATGCAGAGGAGATCAGCCTGGAGTGATTTCGTGTGTGCTGCTATCAGGGCTATAAATTGAAGATGTAAAAGCCAGCACCTGCAATAACTCTGAAAATGGCAGGAGGCAACTATGGACCTCTTGGTGGCCTCAGTACGACTCTTCATTAGCTTATCTGGGATGTGACCTTCTGCAGCCCTCAGTGTTAGACACTCCAGGCATTTTCTGCCTTTTAAAAAGTATCAGATTCTCATTCTGGTGTTTAATCAGAGTCCTTTGGCCCCTTTCCAATCATTGAGGGAGAGATCCTTTTTACACTCAAATTGTTCATCTTTTGTAATTCTCAGGGTCGATGTTTTAGGAGATGAGACCTTCTGCCTGACATTAAACCTTGAATTCTCAGGCAAATGCTCGGGTACCCTGGGGAACTTGTGACCTTAATGTAGGTTTCCAAATGATGATGGGTCTTTCCTTTTAATTGCTTTTTTGGGGGGAGGGTCACTGGGAGTTGAACCCAAGGGTGCTTTACCACTGAGCTACATCTACAGCCCTTTTAAGTTTTATTTTTGCTTTGAGACAGGGTCTTGTTAAGTTACTGAGGCTGGCCTTGAACTTGGGCTTCTCTTGCCTCAGCCTCTTGAGTCACTGGGATTATAGGCATGTGCCACCGCGCCCAGCTTTAACTACTTTTTGACTCCAGTGTTAGTGCTTTTTAAGCTGGAATGTGCTTTGGGTTCATGTGGGGGTCTTGTTAAAGTGAGGATTCTGAGTAAATTTGAAGTAAGGCCTGAGATTCTGCATGTCAAATGAGCTCCCAGGTAAAGTGCTGGTCCCTGAACCTGCACATTGGAAGGCAGTTCTGAATTACAGCTGTCTACACCATTGGCTCCATCCATGCCACACAATAAAGTCACCAGGGGAGCTTTGAAAAACCAGTACTTGGGCCACATTCCTTAGATATTCTAATTTAATTTTGAGCATTGATGTAACCCCTCTCCCAAGTGATTCCAAGGTAGAGCCAGGGTCGGAATACACCAGCCTTCATGAAGAAAGGGACAACAACATCTAAGAGTTCAAGGGTGTGTGCAGTGCCGTGGACCAGGTTGGGCAGGTTGCCTGCATGTGGGGAGGCTGCCCCTTTTCTCCTAGAGAGCTATGAAGGTCACCTGGGCATCTTGTTAAAATGCAGGTTTTACTTCTGAGATTTGGGGTGGGACCCAGGCTTTGCAAGAGGCCCGCAGTGCTGCCAGTTCAGGCTGGTGCTGCCTGGAGGCTAGACCTAGACCGATGGGCCCACCCGATGTCCAGTATCAAAGCCGAGAAGGTGGCGGCAGCCTTCTCATGTTGAGTGTCAAAGGCTTCTGATTTTTATCTTCCTCCCCTTAAGCACCATCACGATGTCCCTTGGACTCAGCTTAGTGTTGACACAGGATGCTAATGAATGCAGATCAGCCCTCTTTTTGTGACTTTTTCTTTCTTCTCTCTTCACAGTACGAGATGCAAAAAATCTAATCCCTATGGATCCCAATGGGCTCTCTGATCCTTACGTGAAGCTGAAACTTATTCCTGATCCTAAGAATGAAAGCAAACAGAAAACCAAAACCATCCGCTCCACACTGAACCCCCAGTGGAATGAGTCCTTCACGTTGTAAGTGTGTCTCCTCTTCTAGATCAAACCCCATTCTTGTGCACCATGCAGCTCTCAATTTCATTATTAGAGATAATTGGGGGGGGGGGGAGACAGTGACAAATGTCTCTACACATGTCCTCATCCTAATACCTCTTAGACTACTGTTGGTGTGGACAGCTGTCATCACCTGTTTGGGGCAAAGTAACTCAGTTTACCAGGAACTGCATGATGCCAGCCCCAAATAATTACCATTACTTATTCTGCACCAGGGGGAAAAAAATCTGTTTAAGGTATTAGTGGTGATATAAAAGCATATAAGGTGTGTCCCACCATTTGATGGACTTAGATTTTTTTTTCTTTTTCTTTTTTGTGGTACTGGAGATTGAACCCAGGGCCTTGCACTTACTTAGTGGCCAAGCACTTTACCACTGAGCTATATCCCTGATGCCCTGGAATTGGGTTATTTTCAGGGTTAGACGAGGGTGTGAGGCAAGAATTGAATAATTGTCACAACATAGAACAAGTGAGTAGCACAGGAAGTGTCATCCCCACTGCAATGGGAAGGTAGCCTCACCTTTAAGCAGGGAAGGCTTCGCAGAGGAGATGACCTTGAGGTGGGCCTTGAAGGATTTCAGAAGTAGGAACCGTAGAAGGGGAAGAAGGAAGGAGGGAATGGGAGGAGGGAGTGAGGAAGTCAGGAATGAGAAGTGGCTACAGTGGAGCACCAGCAGGTGTATCTGTGGACATCCAGAGAGGGGGCTCTCCATTGTAGCAAGCCAGCAAGCTCTGCTCTGTAAGGCGGGAGTGTGTCTCCTAGACTGCGCAGGTCAAGTCTCTGTTGCCCCTGCACAGCTCTGACATTCCAGGGCCACAGCAGCCACAGACAGTATGTAAACACTGAGTTCTAATAGAACAAGCAGTGGCCAGCTTGGGCCCCTGGGCCGTGGCTGGCTAATCCCTAACCTAGAGCTCCCAGTGTAGGGCTGGTATTCGGTTGGCCAGGAAGAGACATGAATGTACTATTTCAGGCTCAGATCATGAGCATATGGTATCTCCCAAGAAAGCATAATCAAGATAACCCCGGGTGTGTGTGTGTGTGTGTGTGTGTGTGTGTGTGTGTCTTTATAGCAAACTAAAACCTTCAGACAAAGACCGACGACTGTCCGTAGAAATCTGGGACTGGGATCGAACAACAAGGAATGACTTCATGGGATCCCTTTCCTTTGGAGTCTCGGAGCTCATGAAGATGCCGGCCAGCGGATGGTAAGGACACCCTGAGACTGAGCAGTCCCCAAGCATCAGACCACTTTGAGATGCGGGAGACAGGCCAGTTTCCATCTCTGAACTGCCGGGTGGCTGCCTGCCCGCCTGGGCGCCGTCTCCCACGGGGCATTTCACCCACCACTCGACTAGAGATGGAAGGCCAGGAGCTGCTCGGCTCGCGCTTACCTCCGCTTCTCTCTGTGTCTTTGAAAGGTACAAGTTGCTGAACCAAGAAGAAGGGGAGTACTACAACGTGCCCATTCCAGAAGGGGACGAAGAAGGAAACGTGGAGCTCAGGCAGAAATTCGAGGTGAGGATCTCAGCGAAACCTGGGGCCACCCCTTTCCTTTAGCTGGTGAAGCATAACTTCCGAGAGCCCCGGAGTCGTGTCGTTGAAGGGCAAAAGTAATTTCAACGTTCCACTCGTTTTCTTAATTGAAAAACATAAATGCTGCATGTAATTTCTTTCCTTTGCAAGTTGTTGGCCTTCTGTGTCCTTTGTCCTTTAGAGAATGGAGGTGGGAAATAGTGTAGAGAGGAGGGCATGGTCATGTTGCCGTCACCAAAATACCTGACAAGGACAGCTGAGAGGAGGGAAGGTTTATTTGGCTTACAGTTTCAGAGGCTCCGTCCATAGGCTGCTGAGTCCATTGCTTTGGGCCCACGGTGAGGCTGGACACCATGGCTGAATGGCAGGGTGGAGGAAAGCAGCCCAGCTCACGGTGGCCAGGAAGAAGGTGACCTTTATCCCAGGTCACTGCTTTTGATTTCTATTTCTCTAATCACTTTGCATGCTGCTGTTGTTTGAGGGCTTCTTATAGAAGCCTCTGCAGTCTGTGCTGGATTCTTTTTTGAGTCTTTCCATTCTTCAGACTAATTAGGATTCCCTGGAATTTCTGATCCCTAAGGAAAAGCATGCAAGTGTGTACAGATGCTGACTTGTTACTGGAGCGTTGACACTAATGAGTTGCTACTGGTCTTGTTCTCCTTATTCTGTTCTTCCCCAAAATACAGATAGTTCAGAACATTTAGGTTCAATTCCAAAGGAAGTGAAACATGAAACTTCTCAGATTATTTCATTACATCAATGCTTGGTTAAAATGGATCTGGGAAACACTGAAGGGCAGGGGCTATAAGGGTAGGTGCCCCCGGGTGCCTAATGAGTCACAGGTGATGTAGATCCATGGCAGCTCACAGCAGGTTGAGGGGTGAGTGAGACAGTAGGGAGCAATGGGGACTGGAGCAAGCTGGTGAACTTGAGCCCTGTGTCAAGGTGGCAGCCACGCTGCTCAGTGCTAAAGGATCATTCCACCTACAGGCCCAGGCCCCGTGCTGCCCGCTGTGTGGCTCAAGAGAATCCAAAACTCCAGGCTTTTATATGGCATATTCTGATTTCTGTTAATGTTGGCAGCTAATTAAAACTTACAAGTCTGTGTAGGTCAAACATATATCTGTAGCTTTAGACACAGGCAGGGGTCAACCAGTGAGACCAGGCTGCGGTCTCTACTCTTAAAAAAATATAGGAGGAAAAAAATAAATGAAAGGAAAAATACATCAAATGAGAAGAATACCATTCTTTCCAAAGAAGCCTTATGACATTTGGAAGAATTCAAGTACCCAGACACCAGTCGGGGTGTCCCCAGGCACACCCTCACCTCCCAGTCCCTCCCTCCCTCCCTCCCTCCCTCCCTCTCTCCCTCTCTCCCTCTCTCTCTCTCTCTCCTCTGCTTGCTTGCACTCCACACCCTGCTGGGGTTGCAGGCCTGAGTCCCAGGCAGGAGGGCTGCCTTGATGCCCCTCCCAATACCATACCCCGTATGATGGATGGATCCTTCTAGGGAGAGTGTCTTTTGGGAACACTGAGCACCACTGGTACCCAGCTGTCTCAGGCAGAGGAGGAACCCGGGGAGCTAACAAGTGCTCTCGGAACTTCCTGTCCTCAAGCTGATCTGTCTGAGACCTCGCTTTACTGATAGAGAGATACCGGCCCATTTTCGCTGCTTCACATCCATGGTTTCCTAGGATGCAACCTTCCTGTTTTTCTGGGCAGTGAATCCAGCTTTTTATAAAGGTCAGCATTCCAAGCTGAAAAATAAAAATAAAAACCACAGGCCAGAGGGCTTGAAGCTGAGAGCAAAAGCATTTCTCTTGAGGGACAGTTAGAGGCCGTGCGCGTTGCGGGTTGTGTGTCCCTCCTAGGAGAGCTGAACTTGGCGGCACAGCACTAGCCCCGGGCCCTGTGACCTCCAAGGACAGAGGCGAGGTCAGCAGAGTTGAGAGGCAGAGCCCTGCTGTTCGGTCCCCCAAGGAGCACCTGTGTGAACTACACCCCAACTTTTTGCTCTAATCGTTTACTTTAGAGCATTTAAAGACCACAACCAGCCAGGCATAATGGCACATGCCTATAATCCCAGTGGCTCAGGAGGCTGAGGCAGGAGGATCAGGAGTTCAAATCCAGCCTCAGCAACAGCAAGGTGTCAAGCAACTCAATGAGACCCTGTCTCTAAATAAAATCCAAAATAGGGCTGAGGATATGGCTCAGTGGCTGAGTGCCCCTGAGTTCAATCCCTAATACCAAACAACAAACACACACACACACACAACCACAGGAGACTATGCAGGAAGCCATTAGGTGATGGAGTCCGAAGGTGCCAGGGAGTTCATGACAACCCTCATGCTGCCTTTAAATGAAATATTCTGATCTGATTTTAGGCAGGCGTTCAATCCCACAATGGGATTTTGTTGAGGTCTATCAGTGTGGAAGTTGCAAACCTTCCCGGTACCCCAGTGTTGGGAAACCCTGTGCCAGGCCAGAAAGACTATAGTCTGCATTTGAGCTGTTCTGGGGGCAGCCAGCCTTTCCAAACAGGGACCAATTGGCATCTGGGTACAATTTAACTTCCACCCCATTTCCTCCCTCTCGGGGCTCAGACCCAGGCTCCCCTCTGTGTTCCCCTCTCTGCAGATAGTTACCGCCCTGGCTGCTTTTCTCACATCAGTCTTCTGGTCCTCACCCATTCTTTCCTCCTCTCCTGCCTCCAGTAGGAGATCCACTGTGGGGCGGGGCGGGGCAGGGTGGGTTCCGTGATGGATGGTTGCTGGATGAAGCTTGGCCTCAGCAGCCTTGCACAGAGGCTAGTCTATCTTCTTTCCTCATCAAGCTCTGTTTTCTAGAAAGCATTTACTAGCTGTGGTTTTTTGATGTCCATCCCCAGAAATCAAAAGTCATTCAGTCTAATGAAAGAAACATCAGAACCAATGAGCATTTACGCGCTCCCCACTGCATTAGCATTCATCGCATCATTCAGTGGCAAGTTCGTCAAATTTAAGTTGTTGACTCTAGAATCTTGGCAAACAGAAGGATCCGTGCGCGAAGCTCTTAGGAGCCAAGGAGAATCCCAGGATGGCTGGAAAAGCCCTTGCTCCAATGCAGGTCCTGCCAGAGCAGACCCTCTGCCTGAAAGGCGATGCAAACCAGAACCTCTCCTGTGATCTTCTTGGACTGTGTGTCCGTTCGCCTGTGACCTGTTCCAGGTTTGTCCAGACGAGGTGCACATGGTCCCTGGTCACAAACATGAATTATGCGTCTTTCCATTTCTTCACTGAGGTTCCAGCATGAGCAAAACAAACAGTCCCCACTTCCTGTGGAGCTTGCTCTGTCCCTGTGGACCCTGCTTCTTACCTACTTGGGGATGGAGCAGGAAATTCATTGAGCACATATTATGTTCCACACTGGTGAGCACTTCCCCGGGGCCTCCTGGGGCTTTTGAGGACAACCAGGATTCCTGACTTTGCCCTGGCTCTGAGTCTCTGCTCCCCACCATGCGGCTCACAGCCAGATTTTAGAAATGGATCTGCCTTTCTTTGGAGGTGGTCCAGAGGATGCGTTTGGGGCTCGATAAATGTTCTCTGTAAAGTGTCAGGTAATGATTGTTTCAGGCCGTGCAGTGTCTGCTGTAATGTGCCAACTCTCCTGCAGCAGCTCAAAAGCACCAACAGATATAGTGACAGATGAGCATGCAGCGTTTCAATAAAACTTTATTTACAAAAGACCAGATTTGTCATGGACCAGTCTGCCAACCTGGTGTAGCCCATGAACCCTGGAATCCAATCCTGGTTTTGCCCATAATTAACTACATAACCTCTCTGTGCCTTAGTCTCGTTACCAGGATGGTGATAATAGCAGTATTAACTTAAAGTTGTATTAAAGATTAAATTAAGTAGTTAGTAGAAAAGTCCCAAAAGGATACTTCTATACAAATGTTGGCCCTTCCAGTAATCAAGATCATTGTCAATATATTTCATTGCAGAAACTGGCTAATTATAGGTCCTTCTTCTTTTTTTTTTTTTTTTTTAACTTCTGAAGTTTCCCTGAAAAATGATAAATTTTCATGTTGAAATCATGCTCTATTTAAATAGTGGGCATGCTTTTGGCCCTATATTGCAGCCATATTATGAAGTTGAGGCATGTCAATGAGAACCTTATCACCATTTATGTTTTTATGGGAGAATATATCCTGATTTAGATGCAGACAGCTTTCTGGGATAAATCTGTTATAATTTGGGGACTTTGTGCATCTGGAAATGCATCAAACAACCTCTGAGAAAAGCTTGTCACAGAAATGAATGTGATTCCATATGAGATGTCAGCTGCACTGACACTTCAGCATTCACTGGTGTGGCATAGGATCCTGATCAAAGACTCAAAACCAGGACCATCTGGCAGATGATTGATTGATCTGAACCACACAGAGAACAAACACAAATGTAACCATAATGGCGGTAGCAGCCAATACCGATTCCATTCCCAAGAAAGTCCCGTACTCTCCTCGGTGTAGCATTGCCATTTCAATCTCTTACAAAAATCTAGGTGCAGAATTACTCACATCCTGTGCTCTTCCCAGAGGGGTTGCTGCACCCAGCCTTCCAGCTGGGAAAAGTGGGGGTGCCTGACCTCCTTGCTCTCTCCTTCAGAACAGTTCTAAAGGTTCTTCCTGCCATGGGCAGTTTCACTGCCGTGCTTATCAGTAGGCTCGAGCGTTTTCGTGTTGCATTTATCAATCAGTCGATTCCTTTCCTGAGCCCCCTGGGGCCACATCTACCTCCAGAGTTCAAGTTGTCCTAGAATTAAGAAAATAGATGGAGCCAAGGGAAGGAAAGGCAGATGGAGGTGAGTTCTGGGGCCATTCCCAGGCCATCCCCTTCCCACCAGTGCAGAGCTCCTACAAGTGGCCCCCTCTGCTGTGGGGCAACTTACTCTAGCCCTGACTGTCTTCCACCCCATCCTGCCACCTATCGAGAAAGGAAGCC